CAAGAGCCCCAGGTCCAGGGGCCCAACGCACCAAGGCAACTCAACGGAGCTCATGGACTTCCAGGTATACCAGTTGCCCCACCCCAACGTAGAGAAAATTTAGGTAGAGGTACAGATAGAGGGGCCCCATGCCGCATGGAGCTTGACACGGGTTCAACTCTATCCATAATCTCGGCAAGGACCTTAAGGAAACTGTGTCCTACTGCGGGTCCCAAACTCAGGCCGGCCCCATTCACCCTCTGGGACTTCCAGAAACGTAAGGTCCCCACAATGGGGGTGGGGACCTTCAGGCTGCAATACCGAGGGCGGACACGGCAACTGGACTTGCTTGTGGTCAAGGGCCCCTACATTAGCTTACTGGGATTAGCATGGTTTGGACCACTGGGGCTAGCCGTCACCGGGGTGAACCACACTAGCTTACAAGTGGACGTGGCCGCCATATGCAAGGAATTTCCGGGGGTTTTCGATGGGAAATTGGGACAGTATACGGGCCCCTCCATTGCTCTACAGCTTGACCCCGCAGTACGACCGGTCAGGCTCAAGGCCCGCCGGGTCCCGTTCGCCCTGAAACCCCGTATAGACAAGGAATTGGACCGGCTCGTGGAGCAAGGAGTGCTGGAGCCAGTGCCTAATGCCCCCTGGGAAACCCCAATCGTCACACCCGTCAAGCCTAATGGTTCGGTCCGCATCTGCGCAGACTACAAATGTACCATAAACAAGGCCCTCACAGCCCATGCATACCCAGTGCCAGTGGTCAGCCATGTCCTTGCCACCCTGGCTGGGTCGAAAATTTTTGGCATGCTGGACTTGGCCCAAGCATATCAACAGCTGCCAGTAGATGAGGCCACAGCAGAGGCACAGATGATTGTGACGCACAGAGGAGCGTTCAGGGTAAAGCGGCTGCAATTTGGTGTCAGCGTGGCACCAGGCATATTCCAGAATCTAATGGACTCTCTCCTTAAAGGGATTCCTGGCGTCACCCCCTTCTTCGATGATGTGTTGATTGCCGGGCCCACACCAGAGGAGTTTGAGGACTGCCTCCGCACCGTTCTGCACCGTTTCTAGACGGCGGGTCTCAAGGTGAAGCGGGAAAAATGTTTACTAGGAGTGCCTCAGGTGGACTTTCTGGGATTTATGGTGGTCGCAGAAGGGGTCCACTCGACTGGGGACAAGGTACGGGCCATTTGTGATGCCCCAGCGCCCAAGAACAAGACTGAACTTCAGGCCTTCTTGGGACTATTGAACTTTTACCATTCCTTCCTTCCCCACAAGGCGACGGTAGTGGAGCCCCTATACAGACTCCTGGACAAGCGGGCCCCTTGGGTGTGGGGCCAGCGCCAGGGGCCGCATTCCAGGCAGTCAAAGACTTGCTTGTCTCAAACTCGGTCTTGGCACACTTCAACGAGAGGCTGCCAGTGGTGCTAGCATGCGATGCATCGCCCTATGGCATTGGCGCTGTCCTGGGACACCAACTCCCGGATGGAAGAGAGGTACTGGTGGCATACTTTTCCCAGACACTCAACGCAACCGAGCGGAACTACTCGCAAATCGACAAGGAGGGTCTGGCAATCGTGAAGGGAGTAAAAAAATTCCATGATTTCTTGTATGGGCGGCCCTTCACCGTGGTGACTGAACACAAGCCGTTGCTTGGCTTGTTTGCCCCCGAAAAGCAGACCCCCCAAGTGCTGTCTCCTCGCGTCCTCAGGTGGTCAATTTTCCTTGCCAGCTACCAGTATGCACTGATTCACCGCCCTGGGAAGGCGATGGGCCATGCGGACGCCCTCAGCAGGCTACCACTACCGGAAACAGGCCCCGACCCAGCACCTGCACAAGAGGTTATGAGCCTGGAGCTGCTTCCCAACGGCCCCATTCAGGCACAAGAAGTTGCACACCATTCCAAGAAAGATAGGGTCATCTCCCGGGTCCTGGACTGGGTGTGGAGGGGATGGCCCAGCAGCAGCCCCGGGCCAGAATTCGCCGGCAACACAACCCGCAAACATGAACTGTCGGCCCACAAGGGGTGCCTGTTATGGGGAAGCAGGGTCGTTGTTCCCCAGCCCCTGCGCAAAAGGGTCCTCACAGCCCTACACGAGACACACCCAGGGGTAGTAAGAATGAAGGCCCTTGCCAGGAGTTATGTGTGGTGGCCGGGGATCGACGGAGAGATAGAGGCCTGGGTCAAAAACTGCCAGGCCTGCCAAGAATCCCGCCCAGATCCCCCAAGGGCCCCAGTCCAGTCCTGGGAGTCTGCCCGAGCACCATGGTCACGCCTGCATGTGGACTTCGCTGGCCCCTTTCAGGGGAAAACATTCTTCATAGTGGTGGACTCCTACACCAAATGGCTGGAAGTCGCACTGGTACTGTCCACTCCCACGTCCACAGCCATCCGGGTACTACGCAGGCTGTTTGCAACCCACGGGCTCCCTGACACTCTCGTCTCAGACAACGGGACTGCATTTACGTCAGGAGAATTCCAAACCTTCACAGAGCAGAACGCCATCCGCCACATCCGTTCGGCGCCGTTCCACCCTGCCACCAATGGCCAAGCAGAACGCATGGTGCAGACCACCAGGGACACCCTTCGCCGCATGACGCAAGGGGATTGGGAGTACCGCCTTGCCACATTCCTTCTAGCACAGCACAGCACCCCCAGCTCAACGACTGGCCGGAGCCCCGCTGAACTACTAATGGGTCGGCGCCTTGCAATCAGATTGGACCGCCTTCACCCCGATAGAGCTCAGGATGAGGTAGTGGGGGGGGAAGGCAGGAACCCCCAGACCTTCGAGGCCCAGGACCCAGTGTACGCAAAGAATTTTGGGGCAGGCCCAGCACGGGGACCCGCCACAGTCACCAGGGTCACTGGCCCCGTGTCGTACGAGGTGCTAACGGATGGGGGGCAATGCTAGTGCCGCCACTGTGACCAGATATGGCGACGATTCCCGGGAGAAAACCAGGAGGAGGAGGACAGGTCAGAGGAGTCCCAAGGGAACAGTGGGGCAGTGAGGCCCATAGAGCAGGAGGGGCCAGCAGGAGAGGCAGAATCAGTAAATACAGAGAGGACCCGCGAGGCGGAAAGGACACCGGAACCAGAACCACGACTGAGCGAGCCGGTTGCGCCAGACCAAACAGCCCCATCACAGCCAGCATCCTTGGAACACGAGCCAGAACCTGAACCCCGGACCAGGGAACACCCCAGGCCACAATGCACACGTAGGCCGCCGGCGTACCTTGAGGACTATGAATGCGACCTCCCGGGCAGGACTGGAACTTAGAGGGGAGGGGTATTATGTACTGAGTTGAATAGGATCCAAACTGCAGCAGTCTGATTGGTCCTAGAACAATAGGATCCAAAAGGCAGCAGTCTGACTGGTCCTAGAACAATAGCATTTAGAATGCAGCAGTCCAATTGGTCCTAGAACAATGCAGCAGTATGATTGGTTGGCAGGAACTACCCAATCATGCTCCAGATAGAAGTGAATCCACAACCTGATTGGCTTACAGTAGAATTCTGGAATTAGCTAATCATGTGCAGCCCGTTGTGTAAATAATGTATATAAAGCAGATACTTTGAGGGGATTCATTCATTCCTCCTCACCACTATGAGCTGAATAAAGAGCATGAAATCACTTTGCGACTCTGAGTATAATTCAGGAGGAAATGGAGAAAGCCTCCCCTTTGTCTTTTTGCTTACAAATCCTGTCTTAAGGGTGTATTTGTGTATGAACAGGGTGAGCCTGGGACCTGGGACTCAGAAACTGAAATATTTACCATCACAAAAGAATGGCCAGGGTGCCTAGGTAAAGCAATCAGTGACCATTAACAGATATCCTGGCAAACAGGATTTCTGCTGTAGACCACCTCCTTCTGTAATGTTTGCACAATGTTTTGGGGGGTGGTCTTGGTCTACAGAAGGCTTCCTCATTCTTGGCCCTCCAGATGTTTTTGGCCTACAACTCCCATGATCCCTAGCTAGCAGGACCAGTGGGTGGGGATGACGGGAATTGTAGTCTCAAAACATCTGGAGGGCCGAAGTTGAGGAAGCCTGGTCTACAGGGTGGGCAATTTCAAAACGCTATATATGGGCTTGTGCACCATTGTTCTGGGTTCCTCATCCCTCCTGCGTAGGGTGAGTGAGGACCCTGTTGCAACAGTTTAATAAAGATCAGGCTTACTAGCTGCTTTGCTTCTCAATATTCTCTGGCTGGCCTCTGTTATTTTCTCCTACGGATAGGGAACCTACTTAAGGACTCTATACGGGCTCTTGGATACCCAATAAGGGGAAAGGAGCAGGTTTTTTCTATAACACTGACTTTTATACCATTCCTCAGTAAAATTCCACTCTTCCTTTCACAGTGTTCCCCCAAAACTGAACCTTGTCGTACCCTTCCCAGCCCAAGCTCACCACGTAGGAGTAAGAGGAAACTTTAATTCTATTCACTGCTCACCCCCACGCCCCCGTGTTATGGTGTTCAAAGCTCTGGGCTTCCAACACCTTAAGCAATCTCCTAACAACTGTCATTCTCCTGCTAAATTATAAACTCTGATGTCACTTTTTCATAGACTTGATAGCTTAGCCAGCCCCAGAGGCACCATTTGCCTGGGGAGTTTGTAGCCAGGGCTGCTGCAATGAACAACCGTGGAAGCCTTTGGGAGGCAGAGATGAGAGAGGGCATCAGAGAAGGGAAAGAAGGAAAGAGGGACAGAGTCCAGTGTTGCCCGGGGTACTCTGACTATCATTCAAGGCGCCCCAGGGTGCCATGGCAAACTGGTTGAAAACCACTGGCTTAGCCAAATATGAGACGTGGTGAGAATAAACCAAACTTTATTGCTACAATAAAAGCTGAATGTACCAGGCACTTATATGATGGTCTTAATAAGAGTTGCTGGATATTTATATTTCTTTTCCTATCTTATCCTGTCCTGCCTAATCAACCCATTACTCCACAGCACCCACATCAGAGAGGAACAGAAGGGCATGGGCGCTGCATGACAGAAGAACAGGTTTATATCAATACCATGTCACGGAACTGAAATCCTTCCAGGATGTTTCAGTCTTCTGTGGATATAATTCATAGCTCCAACATGTCCTGAGCTGAGGTAGAATAATACTTTATTGAGAACAGAAAATTTCCTTGTAATTAATAGAGTAGATCCAGATTGTCCCTAGATATTGCTTTTTCATGCCCAGATGACTGCCTCCATTTCCTTAAAGAACACAATATAGCATCCCTTCCCTTGGTACTGGACAGTCCCATTGAAGAGTCGCCATGCAGTGTGGTCCCTTCATCCTCCTGTCTCTCATCGTGGGCCTTTTCGCACCCTGGCCTGAGCTGCTGGGCATCTCTGCGTCAGATACAGGTATGAGCTCTCTCTCCTCTTACAACTTCTAAATCTTATGTGTATCATGGCTGTACTTCCCCCTATTTCTCTCCAATTCTTTAACCTGCCTCTCTACATACAGAAACTCCAGCGGGTACAGAATGCTGCAGCGAGGCTCCTCACGGGGTCTTTGCCATGGGAGCATATTTACCCAGTGCTTTTCAAGCTGCACTGGCTCCCGGTGGAGTACAGGGTCAGATTTAAGGTGCTGCTTTTGACCTTTAAAGCCCTTCACGGCCTAGGACCCTCGTACCTACGGGACCGCCTCTCCTGGTATGCCCCACGGAGAGCCTCAAGGTCCATAAATAACAACACCCTAGTGGTCCCAGGCCCTAAGGAAGTTAGACTGGCTTCAACCAGAGCCAGGGCCTTTTCAACTCTGGTTCCAGCTTGGTGGAACGCTCTGCCTCATGAGACCAGGGCCCTGCAGGATCTGATTTCTTTCCGCAGGGCCTGTAAGACAGAGTTGTTCCGCCCGGCTTTGGCTTGGAGCCAATTTGATTCCCTCCCTCCCTCTCTTTCTTTTTTCTTTTCTTTCTCCTCCTGCAATGAGGCTACATTTTAATATTTTAATGTTCCATTATTTTAATGTTGTATTTTATTTTTGTTTTTAAGTTGTAATCATTCTTCTTGTTTTTATTATTGCTTGTAAGCCGCTCTGAGCCCGGCCTTGGCTGGGGAGGGCGGGGTATAAATAAAAAATTATTCTTATTCTTATTATTATAGGGTTGCCACCTTCCATAAGGCCCAAGTGATGTGGAGCTTGCTTTCTTGTAGGCAACACATGCACCCAATTATATTGATCACGCTATGGGAGTTTGAGGAGCTTGTGTGCCTACAAAGATTCCCTGGGCTGACTTTGCCCAGTGAGTGAACATGTGACCTTGAAAGGAGCTCAATGGATTCTCCATGGTGGCTCAAAATGAAGAGCTGTGGAGTTGTATCCAACATATTTCTTCTCAGAGTAGATCCATTCAAAAAGATGACTCTAAGTTAAACACGACAATTCATTTCAATGCCTCTATGCCAAGTATGACAACGTTGCATACCAGCTGTGGTCCTTGCTTGGGATCAGTGTCAGCACCAGGAATTCTCAGAGGTTGCTGGCATTCTAGCACCCTGCCCAAGGCCACAGTAGATCAGTGATACTCTGGTTGTTCTGTGAGTCACTCTTTAAACTTTACACTATGTTCCCGGGGAAGCAACATTCTGGGAACTACAGTGGTACCTCGGGTTAAGTGCTTAATTTGTTCCGGAGGTCCATTCTTAACCTGAAACTGTTCTTAACCTGAAGCACCACTTTAGCTAATGGGGCCTCCTGCTGCTGCCGCACCGCAGGAGCACGATTTCTGTTCTCATCCTGAAGCAAAGTTCTTAACCCGAGGTACTATTTCTGGGTTAGCGGAGTCTGTAACCTGAAGCGTATGTAACCTGAAGCATATGGAACCCAAAGTACCACTGTATCAGATTTGGAGTACACCTACCCTTGGATAGTCTGATCTCTCTCTTCAGCAATCTTTGCCAACTAAACCCAGGGCTCAGGATATGGACATAGGAGTCTTGTTCATGGTTAGTGTTGACTTCTGGCATCCTCAGGAATATGTGTTGTTTCACTATGCCATCCAAGATACCTTGCAGGTGGTACTCACCAGAGTGGCAGAGAATGGCATGTTGTTTGGCCCATATTGTTTTGTTTGATTTTTGGTTCATAGATAGACAACTTGGCTTCTTCCAGAAGTCTTGGATTTCAGTTTCCCAGCTGACACCCAATGCTAAACTTTTGAGAACAGGAAAGTGACTTTCAGCTAGAACTGGATACAGCCCAGTGGTGGGGATGTAAGGTTATTAAAAGCTTCTGGGTAATGATCTATAATGAACTGAAGAAAATGTTTAAACTAACTTTTGTTAAAAAACCTGAAGCTTTTTTACTAGGACTGATAGGAACTGAACTCCCCAAAGAAGATAAGAAAATATTTTTGTATGCTACAACAGCTGCCCAAATATTGTTAGCCCAAAGATAGAAGGACGAAAAGATGGCAACGAAAGAAGAATGGCAAATCAAGCTAATGGACTATGCAGAAATGGCAAAATTAACGGCAAAGCTCAGAGACTATGACAATGAGAAGTTTAAAAAAGAGTGGGAATCGTTTATTATTTATGTGCTAAAATACTGTAAACAGGTTGATACATATAAGTAAAGCATTTAAGTGAATGCTTGCAACTAGCAGAAAATTAGATATAATTAAGGGAATAATAATTGAAAAGGTTTAAGAATGGATATGCAGAAGAACTTAGTTAATATAAGGAACCAGAAGAGGGTAAGGAGGGAAGTCCAGAGATTTAGGGAATCTCAAAGAGAAGGTTTGTGAAAACATATTTGTATAAATTTAGATCTGGTAGAAATGTGAGTTAATTACTGTTTTTATTTGTGAGGTGGAGTTACCTGGTCAATGTCATTGCTTTCTGTGTTTCAGACTTTGATATAATGTTTATATGAGGCTTGCCTTTCTTTGCTTTTACCCACCAGATGGTCTGCCTGATATATGCAAACTCCCTAAGAAAGTAGGAAAATGCAGAGCAAGTTTTATAAGTTTTTTCTTCAATGTTGAAACCCTGAAGTGTGAGATCTTCATTTACGGTGGCTGTGGAAAGAATGCAAATAACTTTCGGAATGAAAGTCAATGCTATCAGGAATGTGGACGCTTTGGTAAGAACAAATAACTTGCTGTTTTAGGGCAGGAGCTGTGAACGTTTTGGGGCAAATGGGCACGTTTCAAAATTTGAGAAACTCTGATGGGTGCATGTCCCCTTTTCTTGAAAACATGAAAGGCCTCCAAGTACAATATTATTATCTCTCTCTCCAAACCCCTCCATACAAACCCAGAAAGGCAGCATCCTCTCCCCTTAAAACCTAAACACAACTGAACAAAAGCACTGTTTGAAATGATTTTTGGTACATTTTACATATTGCAAATTTTATTTGAGACCACTGAACAAGCCTTATGGTCAAAAAGCCTTTGGCTTACTTTTCTCAAGGTATCTTAGCACAATGACAAACAGAATGTCTGAGAAGATAAAAATCAATTAAAATAAAATAATGTGTACCATTACAGTGGTACCTCGGGTTAAGTACTTAATTCGTTCCGGTGGTCCGTTCTTAACCTGAAACTGTTCTTAAGCTGAAGCACCACTTTAGCTAATGGGGCCTCCCTCGGCTGCCACGCCGCCAAAGCAAGATTTCTGATCTCATCCTGAAGCAAAGTTCTTAACCCGAGGTACTATTTCTGGGTTAGTGGAGTCTGTAACCTGAAGCATCTGTAACCGGAAGCGTATGGAACCTGAGGTACCACTGTACTCAATAACAGCCGAACTCAATATCTGTTCTCAGTTGCTTTTTGACTGACCAGTCTTCTCCAGTAGACGATAAACCATACAGAATACAGTAACATCAACTTCAGTATAGCTGCAAATAATATCATATATTTTATGATGTGCTGCAACATAAGTATCTTTCCAGCTTTTCAAACTGAGAAATCTAAAGTACTGAGCCTACTCTCAGGCAGCCATGGCCAGACTCCAGAATGGGTTCTTCCTTCAGGTAGAAAATATCTGACAGGGCTGGTGCAAAATCTAGCCACTCCCTGTCTCCATGGCTCTTTAGCGCAACTCCAGGGCATGGGCATATAGCAACAGATTGCAATTGCATGAACTGCAACTCTCGTGCAGGGTTCCAAAGGAGAAACACACACTAAGACAGTAGAATTCTTCAGTTATAGTTTAAGTAAAGGTAAAGGTACCCCTGCCCGTACGGGCCAGTCGTTTCCGACTCTGGGGTTGCGCGCCCATCTCGCTTAAGAGGCCGGGGGCCAGTGCTGTCCGAAGACACTTCCGGGTCACGTGGCCAGCGTGACAAGCTGCATCTGGCGAGCCAGCGCAGCACACGGAAACGGCGTTTACCTTCCCGCTAGTAAGCGGTCCCTATTTATCTACTTGCACCCGGGGGTGCTTTCGAACTGCTAGGTTGGCAGGCGCTGGGACCGAGTAACGGGAGCGCACCCCGCCACGGGGATTCCAACCGCCGACCTGATGATCGGCAAGTCCTAGGTGCTCAGGTTTTACCCACAGCGCCACCCGCGTCCCTTCAGTTATAGTTTACTGAGGTTTAAAAGCATATGGGATCTTACTGGATCCCCAGTAAAGTCCCAAAACTTCAGCTCCTAAGACCTCATCCAGTTACAGAAGCAAAGAAACAGACAGTATAACAGAAAGCATAGAAAGAGACACAGAACTGCTCTATAGGCAGGAAATATATCATCTGCCTCTGAACGTTGACCATGAGCCCCACAGACTCACGAGATAAACAACTGCTGCAAGCTTGTATTTGAGAACATTCAAGAATGTTCTGCCCCCATAAAACTCACAATGCTTGACGATATCATTCCTTGAAAGGAAAATGAACAATGGCATCTGTTTCTGAAGGAAGGTCTGCTCACCTCTTATCACCTTGAGTCGCTCCTGAGATGTACTGTGTACTGTGCTTTTACCTTCTTCCTAATGCTTCATCTTTGCTGTGGGCTGCCCTGGGCTCTCTGGGAGAGGAACGGGGACGGAGGGTTATAATTCGTCGTCCTCTTCTTCTGCTTCTTCTTCTTCTTTGTATCATTTGATCCACCACAAAGATTCTCTCTTTCTTCCACAGTAGTGAAAGACGAGTAAGATTTTGGCATCCTCAAAAATGCCCCCTGCTCATGTGAAAGAAGACAACAGCTAAATTCCAGATGTCCTGCCAATCTACAGATGTCCTTCCATTCACCCCAGCTGAATATTCTGAATAAGTGCAACAGTAGTTCAGCATCCTCTGTATTCTGGATCTTGAGTATGGGGTTTTCTCCACATTAATTCATCTGCTATTAAATCCACATTAATGCTGTTAAGTGTCTTCTATGGCTTACTATTTCTTTGTGGGGAGCTTAGATGATTTTATTTACAAAAATATTTATATGCTGCTATATCATCTAAATATCAAAGTGATTTACATTATCTACATATATCATAAAACATGTAAAAAAAATTAGATTAGAGAACATCAACTAACCATTAAGTATTTTCTTAAATGCTGGCATAAAGCTGTCATTATAAAAATGTTTTCAGCAGGCCTTTAAAGATTCACAGCCAGCTGAATCTCTGTTGGCTGAGCAGTCCTTAGGACTGGGCAAAAGGCTAAAGGTTTGGATTCTTGTTGTCAGATGAGCCTCACCAACTCCGGGGACAAGACATGATGCTCCTCCAGATGATCTAAGTGTTTGAGCTGACAGATGAGATGTTAGGCTGCCCTTAGGTATTTTGGACTTGTAAATTACCCTAACACAAAGACAACGAACTTGGCTCGGTAGTAGATGCGCAGCCAGTGCAGACCTTTTAACAATTCTGTCATCCTTTTGCACCAACTGGAGCTTTCAGATGAGGCCAAAGGGCAGCCCCACATAGATCACATTGTTGTAATCCAGCCTCAAGGTTACCAACATGTGGCCAGACTTTCCCTGTCCAGGAGCAGCCATAGCTGGCCAATCAGGCAGAGCTGTCAAAAGGAAATCCTAGATGCAAAGGACACCTGGGCGAACCCTCCAGAGCTGCCTTGCGTATCTCCTGGTCATGGGAACCACCCTCCCAAAGGGCATTTGTCTTCATCTGGAAGTGTCCTGGGAGGGATTTTAATTCAGCTTTAAGAACAGCATAACCCTTTCTACTGCCATGATGTGAGCTTACAGTTTCCAGGTATGGATAGGTGACTAACACAACTCGAGTGCTGACATCTAGTGTGAACACAATGAAGGAAACAAAGTACTGCAAAGTAGCCTGGGCTAGTTCTTATGGAATCGATGGCTTGTGAGAACTGTATAAAGGCGTGTGCACCAACCACTTCAGCTATGAAAGCCAGAGTGGAGTGGTGGTGCAGTCTGTAACTCACCACCCACCTGGAATGTGTGGATAAAAAGCACAGGGGGGGCAACACAGTTGGACAGCAAGCATTCACACGTTACACCCCCTCCGCATTAGGAGTCTGTGGTCACACCCACACTAGACATCTAAAGCAGACTTAAACCATGTTGCCAGTCCTGGCTTCCCC